CGGGCGTTGGAGCTACCGCTTGTGCCGAGGACCCGGGTGGTGGAGCTGCCGCCGCCGCTGCGGACCCTAGGGCGAGTGTTCCTGCTGACTCTGGTGTTGCTACTCGGTCCCGGCCGTACTTCGTTCCGCTCCTGCAGCGGGTTCTTGGTCAGCTCCCTCCTCCTTGTCCTCCTCTCTCCTTAGCGTGTCCTCCGTCTGTCCAGCTGCAGTCGCAGCTACCGTCTGCCTCCTCTCTCCCTGGTCCTACTCCTTACACTGGTCCGACTGGAGGTCTTACTGAGCGTCGTGAGCCTGAGTCTCGCCCTGCGTCACCTGTCCGCATTGCTCTCTCTAGCAGTCGTGTCCAGCGTCAGAGTCTTCCTGTTGTCCCAGGCACTCACCGGATGGCGCTTCGTCCGTCCACTGCTCCACAGCGTGTCCCGCTGCCGTCTCCTCCTCCCTCTTCTCTTCCTGCTCTTGCTGACCCTGAGTCAGACTCTCTTCGTACTGCCAGTCCTACTGTCACGCGTCTCCTGGCTACTGTTGTCACTGACCCTTCCTTTGAGTCTGCTGCTGCGTCTGCCTTAGTTGCTGAGCTTGTCGACTTTGCTGCTCCCTGTCGTCTAGACTACGTTGCTAGCCTAGTTGCTGAGTCTGAGTCTGTCTGTCCTCCGTCCGTCGGGGGTGAGTGTGCTCTTGGCACTGACGTCCTTGAGGACAGGCAGGAGGAGTTTGAGTGCTTTGCTGCCGCCTTGCCCCATCTCGTGTCCATGCTTGTTGCCCCTGAGGGAGACCCGGATGCACCAGACATCCCGACCCCACGCTCTTACGCAGAGGCGATGGCCAGTCCCTACTCCTCTCAGTGGCAGTCAGCCATGGACACAGAGATGGCTTCCTGGAAGTCCACAGGCACCTACGTCGACGATGTTCCCCCACCTGGGGCGAACATCGTCAGTGGCATGTGGATTTTCAGGGTGAAGCGGCCGCCGGGCTCTCCGCATGTCTTCAAGGCGCGTTACGTTGCACGAGGCTTCAGTCAGCGAGAGGGAGTTGACTTCTTTCAGACCTTCTCCCCAACCCCGAAGATGACCACTCTTCGGGTTCTGCTGCACGTCGCCGCTCAGCGTGACTACGAGCTCCACTCGCTTGACTTCAGCACTGCTTTCCTGCAGGGCAGCCTGCACGAGGAGATCTGGCTGCGCCGTCCACCTGGCTTCACTGGGTCGTTCCCTCCTGGTACCTAGTGGAGCCTCCGACGGCCAGTCTACGGTCTCCGCGAGGCGCCTCGTGAGTGGCACGACACACTGAGGACTACGCTTGCGGCTCTTGGGTTCGCACCTTCTACTACTGACCCGTCGCTGTTTCTACGCACCGACACCTCACTACCGCCGTTCTACGTCCTTGTGTACGTCGACGACTTGGTCTTTGCTACTGCTGACACTGTGGCACTCGCCCACGTGAAGTCGGAGCTGCAGAAGAGACACACGTGCACAGACCTGGGTGAACTGACAAGCTATCTTGGCTTGCGGATCACCCGGGACAGAGCACGCCGCACCATCACCTTGACTCAGTCACACATGGTGCAGCAGGTCCTTCAGCGCTTCCGCTTCACGTACTCCTCGCCTCAGCCCACTCCTCTGCCTACCGGTCACTCGCTCTCAGCTCTGCCTTCGGATGAGTCCGTAGAGCCGAGTGGCCCGTATCCAGAGCTTGTGGGTTGCCTCATGCACCTGATGACCTGCACTCGACCAGACCTTGCATACCCTCTCAGCATTCTTGCACGCTATGTCGCTCCCGGCCGTCACCGGAAGGAGCACATGGATGCAGCTAAGAGGGTGTTGCGCTACTTGTGCAGTACGTCGGGCATGGGGCTAGTGCTTGGAGGGCGAGTCCCAGTTGTTCTCACTGGGCACTCAGACGCTTCTTGGGCAGACGACCAGGCTACTCAGCGGTCGTCTCAGGGTTACTCCTTCAGTCTTGGCTCTGGTTCTGTTTCCTGGCGTTCTACTCGCTCTTTCTCTGTTCTCAGCTCCAGTTGTGAGGCTGAGATCTACGCCACAGCCATGGCGGCCCAGGAGCTACGCTGGCTCACCTACTTGATGACCGACCTTGGAGAGCAGCCTCGTTCTCCTCCAGTGCTGTACGTCGACAACAAGGCAGCCATTGCCTTGTGTGAGGAGCACAGACTGGAGCACAGAACGAAGCACATTGCTCTGCGTTACTTCCTTGCTCGAGAGCTGCAGCAGCGTGGTCAGCTTCGCCTGCGTTACGTGGCCTCTGAGGCCAACACTGCTGATGTGTTCACCAAGGCGCTTCAGCCTTGTGACCATCAGCGCTTTTGCACTCTTCTAGGCCTTGTGCCTACTGGACCTCACTTGCTTACTTCTTGAGTCTGTTTGTACTGTGATCTCTATATATATACCTGCATGTTTACTCTTGTTAGGTTATGATCATTGTACCTTTTGCTCTATTATAAACCTGCATGTGAACTGGTCTTGTGACCACTTGCTTGTGCTCGGAATTTGTGTGGTATCCTTGAGATCCACCCTGAGCTTGTTTTGTCTTGCTTTGCCTTGACTGGTCTTGTGACCCCTAGATCTCCCCCACTTTGCCTATGGGGGTGTGTCAAACATTATATATGTTGTGTTAGTTTAGGCTACAGTGGGTTAGCCTATAGGGGGTACACAATTCTAGGGTTAGGTTTTGACCTATTTGTACCCAACTGTCATTCTAGTCATTCATTCCTGTTTGGTACTTCTGACAGTACGGCACGAAGCTATAGTTCTCAACGGCAGATCACCCACAGACGGATGGTCAAACAGAGCGGACCAATCAGACCATGGAGCAGCTGATCAGAACAAACTGCCCCGACCCGGCCCGCTGGGAGGACTCTCTCGCAATGTTGGAGTTTGCCTTCATCAACGCGCCGTCCAGCACGACTAATCACTCCCCATTTTTCCTGAATTATGGGATGGACTTGACGGTTCCTACCGCGACTGCTCTCGACAAGACGGTCCCACGGTCACAAACTTTTGTGACGGAACTCAAGGAAACCCGAGAAAAAGCCGCCGACGCAATTCGCAAGGCGAATATCACTTCCCGCAAATACGCAGATCTTCTACGCCAGGAACTCGTCTTGACCACTGGGCAATTAGTGCTCCTTGGCACGAAGAACCTGCACCTGCCTGGCCCGTCGAAACTACGGCCACGATTTTGCGGGCCGTTCAAGATTATCAAGATGGTGACACCTGTCACCGCGAAGCTGTTGCTACCCGACGACTGGCGGATTCATGACGCCTTCCACGTCAACCTTCTTCGCAAGTTCGTGCCAACCACGACAGACATCGCACGTCAGCAAGCTGCCCCAACAGAACGACCTGTTCCGGAGCCGACCCTTGACCCTTCGAAAATCTTGGCTCATCGGGTTTGCCTTGACGCAGCTGGCCGACACGTGGATTTCTTGATCCGCTGGACTGATCGCACCAGTGAGGACGACACGTGGGTGCCATCCGCCTCGCTCGACGCCTCGCCACTTGTTGGTGATTACTTGGCGCGCAAGCGTGTTGCGGATATTGACCGCCTTTCTTAAAGGGGGGGGGGGGTAGTGTAAGGAATTTTCCCGAATTCCTTATCGGGGTTGACTGCTTCGCGTACAACCTGATTTTCGGAGTTCGCACGTTCGGCCGATTTCAACGCTGCCGAGGCTCCTCGCGTCGCCTTCGGCATTTCCATCGCCAAACTTGCACCCAACCTCGTCTCCCGAGGTTTCCTCCTGGTTAGGCTAGCCCTACATTAGTTTTTGCATTCATTGTATTCTCAGTTCATTCAGTCACAGTCTCGTTATTCGTTTACCTGCGCACTCTCTTTAACAACTCATAACAACTAAGGAGAAAATTGGCTATGTGTTGCGAAAGGCATAGATTTGGCACACAAAGAAAATCCACTAGAATAGAATGAAAGATAGAATACAATGGGTAAAGAAATACCCAACCACTGAACCTACCAAGAGAACGTTCTCACCTAGAACGTTTAGATAACTACTACTTAGCTGCGCCTTGCCAAGTCAGCATCGGCAGGTGAAAGTTACAACACATGCTTAGTTGGTAATTTTTACCTACCTAAAAGTAGTTATTTTAACTGTTCAGGTTGTTTTAAACAACTTCTGTAACGCACGTTTTCGTAGTTACGAAAACGTGTGCCATGTTCAGTTTGCTCAGGTGGTTCAATTCGCCCCCAGGTTGAACACCCCAAGTTCACGCACTGTTTCCGGGGGTCAATTTCTCAATGTCCACAATGTTCCGAAATTCCCACGCAAATTTTCTGAAACGATCGCGTTTTCGCGTCGGAAGGGTTCGACGGTCGAAATTGTGATCCTCTGCAGAATTTCGTTTCTGCAGATGCGCCTTCTTCTGCAGACCCGAAATCTCTGCAGATGCGCCCTCCTCTACAGCTTCACGATCCTCTGCAGATTTCCGCTTCTGCGAAGTACTTCTGCTGCAGTGCTGAAACAAGGCTACGGCGCGCAACCACGTTAGGCGAGGTGGCCGAGCCTGCCAAGGCGAAGGTGGCGCCGTAGCTAGAAGAAGAGAGGAAGAGTAATCGCAGCGGAATACAGAAGAAGCTAGGCTAGTGAGAGATGCCTAACTCTGGAGTCTTAGATGAGAGATGAAGAAGTAGAAAGTAGATTCCAGAATTAAGGATGATACAACAAGAACTAGGAAGAGATATTTATGCTAGGAAGAGAGATGGCGACTTGGGAGGAAAACCGCATCGCCACTCAATCTAGCATGGCATCTTGGCATAGCGCCTCGATGCCATGCCCTGCTGTACTATTCTTCCTGACAGGGATACGGGAGCACGTTCTAGGCTAGCAAGTGGTGCAGTTCGTAGGTAGCTAGGCAAGGACCCGTTCGGAAATTCCCATGCATCTCGCATGGTGAATTCCGTCCTGTTACAAGTGCAGAGCTCCACCCAGTCCTCTGCTAATTTTCGCTTCGGGGAATTTCGCGTCCCTGCAGAACATGACGACCATCTGCAGGGTCAGTGCAATCTCAACAGTCACTTCGCTCTCACGACCCATCCTCTCCCCGTTCCTGCGTGCCGCTGTCGTTTGGTAGCTTCTTCCAGCAAACCTTTTGTTTTCTGCCTTTAGTGGCCCTTCTGGAGAACTTGTGGACGCCGTCCTCCACTCGGCGCCGGATTTTGCGGCGCCTCAAAAGTCGTCTCAGCTCACGCGGTTTTTTTTTTTTTTTTTTTTAGGCGCCTAAAAGTCCTTCTCAGTCTCCGCCGGCAGAGAAGAGAGGAGTGAGAAGAGGGTGGAATGAGAGTGGGTGCTATAAACAGGGCATTGAATCTTCTCACATTTCCCTCGTCCCTCCACTCCTCCCATCTCCTCCACTCCTCCCATCTCCGTAGTCTCTCCTCTCCTCTCATCCCTCCTCTCCTGCTCTCCTGCTCTCATCTCCCTAGTCTCACCTCTCCGCTCGTCACCTCATCTCCACTCCTGCTATCTCCCCTCCCATCAGAGCTCAAAAGCCCACCTGCACTTCCACACCTTGCCTGACCTGGACAGCTTCAGCAGCACAATGTTAGCCTCTGTGTTTTTTCGAGAATTCTCACCTCTCCCTCTCTTCACTTCATCTCCAATGCTTCTCTCTCTCCCCACCTTTAAGAGCTTGGAAGCCCATCTGCATTTCCACACCTTGCCTGACCTGCACAGCTTCAGCCGCACAATGCTAGCCTCTGTGTTTTTATGAGAATTCTTAAAAAGACGCTCTTCACTTCATCTCCAGTGCTTCTCTCCCCACCTATCAGAGCATGGAAGCCCATCTGCACTTCCACACCTTAGCGGACCTGCACAGCTTCAGCGGCACAATGAGAGCCTCTGTGTTTTGTGAGAATTCTTGAAAAATAATATCTTCCCCTCATCTCCAGTGCTTCTCTCGCTCCCCACCCATCAGAGTCCGAAACTGCACTTGCAATTCCACACCTTGGCGGATCTGCACAGCTTTGCCACCACAATGAGAGCCTCTGGCCACTCCCTCACCTCCCTTCGCCTGGGGCCCACTCCCACGGATGCATCCCACTGGGAAGACCCGTATGGGCATGCCCAGCAACAGCAGCAACTGCAGCATGAGCAGCAGCAGCATGAGGAGCAGCACGGCCATGCAGAGCAGCAGCGGCATGCAGCAGAGCAGCACGAGCACATCTCCCCAGTGTTTCTCCAGCACTGCCCGCGGCTGCAGCAGCTGCATCTGGAGCGTGCCAACTGGCACCTCAGCAGCCTCCATCCCTCGTGGTTCAAAGCCTTAAGGGCCCTCACCATCCACCATTCCCACTGCACCGCCTCCGATTTCGAGTGTCTGGCCCAAATCACGCCGCAGCTACACGAACTCTCCCTCTACGTGTTGAACCAGGGACAGAGTCCATGCACCCTCAACCTTAGCTTCTCCGCTGCTCAATCCATCCACCTCGTGTTGGACCAGCACAGAGTGCACCTCGTGCGCTCCCTACCTGCCTCTCTCAACTCCCTATCTGTTTCAGCGCATTCTCTCGACCTCCACTGTCACTGTGAAGCCCCGCTCTCCCTTGACTTCCTCATGCTGATTGGTCGCAAGCGCCTCGTGGTGGCATCGCTCCCCCTCGCATCGGCCAAAGACGTCTACCTGAACGCACCAAGCATGCAAGAGGAGTCAGTCAATCCTCTCACCAACCCCCCTCACTCCCTCAGCAACCTCTCTCACTCACCTCAGATTTCTCCAAATCAGCCTTCCATCTCCCGAGAACTTCACTCTCCATCCATCTCTGAATCCTCCTTGATCCGCGTGCTGCAATCCGTAGCCCCCACAGTGGAGGCACTGATGGTGCCACACTCGCTGCCGATAGAGTCAGTGGAGGGCGAGTGGAGGGAGCTACACTGCCTGGCAATCGGTGTGCGTGGGAGCAAGGCGGGCAGGGGGAGGTGCAAGACAGCAGTGGAGGCAGCAGAGGCTCGTGCGGGCGGCATCAGCCGTTTGTACCCGAGGAGAGGTGGCATGGGGGAAGGAGGAGACAGAGGCAGTGGCAGGGATGGCGGCGGTGGCAGTGGCAATGGCGGTGACGTTGTTGACAGCAGTAGCAGCACCAGGAGGCAAAGCAGGAACTGTGAAGCGCCAAGGCCTCCGTGCATGATTGCTCCAGCGCTGCGGTCTCTCCTGTTCGCCACGCGCCGGTGCAACTCCGACACTCTCGTGTCGCTGCAAGAGGACTTCCCCTCGTTGGAGATCTACTGCGTTGTTGGCAGGTTGCTCTGCTGGAAGCCCATTGGCAGCGAGCGGCTCAGTCAGCCCATCGTGTGTGTGAGTGTGCATCGGGCTGCTTCAAATGCTCCGCGGTTTGAGACAACGGAAGGCTCAAGTGGCGAGATAGATGTGGGCGACTTTATGGATGGCCTTCAGTGCCTCTGAGCACTTGTAAGCAACAAAGGGATGGTTGGGTGAATTTCGGAAACACGCAAATTGTGTGTCTTCAGAGAAGCAGCAGAGAAAGCTATAGCAGTAGCCAGGACAACTATAATGGCAGCAGGAACAGATTGAGTGGGTGGGTCCTTCGAATACCTTGAATATGGTACATACAGTATGTGACTGTATCAAATCTGTTAAATAGCTGATGAGGATGCTGGTGCTCTTGGTCTGCTTCTGCTGCTTTCATGTATTGCTTGCCTGTACTTCTATGCACGCAACCCCACCCAAAATGCTTTTCGCATAATCTTGAGGCAAAGTAATACGAAATTGTCAGAGGCCCACTGGTGATCCCCGATTGATCCTAGGGAAGGGTTACAGGCACGGTTGCCTGGGGGGTTATGGGCGCTCTGACCCGCTACTTAAACAAGCCCTTTTATCCCAATGGTCTAGTGGTTGGGATTCTGAGATGGTATCGAGCAGGTTCCCTCGTGGGAACTGTTCCTAGGGCCCTACTACTGCCTCCGCTGCTACTCGATCTGTCGTACGCCCCGTGGCATGCGACCTAGCGCGCGGCGATTTTCTTTCTGGCGCGCGCCCCGAGGCGCGCGGCCCTGCTACCCCGTCGCGCCGCCCTAGCGGCCGCGTCGCGCTGCCCTCGCGGCCCCGATCCGCCGCCCTAGTGGCCCCGTCACCTACCCCTGCGGCCTCAGCGCCGCCCTTCCCGGCCCCGGCTCCGCCCTCCCCAGCCCCGGCGCCACCTCGGCTGGCCCCGTCGCCTACCCCTGCGGCCCCGGCGCTGCCCTTCCCGGCCTCGGCGCCACCTCTACTGGCCCCGAAGCTGCCCTTCCCGGCCCCGACGCCGCCCTTCCCGGCCCTGTTGCCTACCTCCCCGGCCCCGGCGCCACCCTTCCCGGCCCCGGCGCCGCCTCTGCTGGCCCCGTCGCCGCTCCACCCGGCCCCGCCGCCGTCCCCAAACGGCCCCGCCGTCACCACTGAGCCGCCGGCGCCGCCGAGCTAGTGCCGAGCCGCCCGAGCCACCCGAGACGCCCGAGCCGCAGCGCCACCTCAGCCGCCCGAGCCGCCGGGTTGCCGAGCCGCCGAGCTGCAGCTGCTACCGGGCCGCCGTACCGCCGAGCCGCCCGAGCCGCCCGAGCCGCCAGGCCGCCGAGCCGCCGAGCCGCCCGAGTCGCCGAGCCGTAGTTGCTGCCGTGCCGCCGTGCCGCCGAGCCGCCCGAGCCGCCCGCACCGCCGAGTCGCCAAGTCGCCGAGTCGTCGAGCCTGCTCTTCCCACCACTGGTGAGCCCCTGCCTTACTAGCGCGTTGCCCGCCGCCTGCTTGGCTGCCTCCCTTACTGCTGCTACTCCTGCTCCTGCTTCTACTGGCGGAGTCAGATGCAGCCCCACCGACGTCCGCGTGAGTCCCTCACGCCCCAGCAGCTGCGTGAGTGGTACGCTGGTTGGGGTTGTAGGGGTGGCGGCGCTGCTACTGCTACTCCTACTGGCGGCGGCCAGATGCAGCTCCAGCGACGCCCGCGCGTGTCTCTCACGCCCCAGCAGCTTCGTGAGTGGTACGCTCAGAGTAGAGGGTCTCTCAGTTCTGTTCGCTGCTCTTACGTGATTCGCACTGGTGCTCGGCCTGGTCAGCCTTGTGGGACGCCTAGTCACACAGAGTCCCGCTGCTTCAGCCGTCTGAGCGACGCCTGGCGTACCGAGTTTGGCGACGAGGCTGAGCTCCCCGACTGGGTGGAGTTGCTTAGGCAGAGGGTAGACATATTTGCTCTTGACTATGATGCTATTCTCACTGCCATGTATGCATTGCCTACTAGTGCTAACCGTGCCAGTCACCTGTGTGTACCGCCTGACCCGGGTATAGGGCCTGCTGCTCTAGCTGCTGGTGAGGCTGCTGCTCTAGGTGCTAGTGAGTCTGCTTCCTCAGGTGCGGGTGAGTCTGCTCTCTCAGGTACCGCGTCGGCTCCGGCCTCTCACACCTTCACTCTTGACTTGGGGGCTTCCCGCTCCTTCTTTCGAGACCGCACCACACTCACGCCGCTTGGTCGGCCAGTTGCAGTCTCTCTGGCAGACCCCTCTGGGGGTCCTGTCCTTGCTCACTTCTCCACTGTCCTGCAGCTCCCTCTGGCACCCTGTCTGGTCTTTACCTCCCCTCGTTCTCTACAAACTTGGTGAGTGGTGCTGACCTACAGGATGCGGGGGTTCACCAGTTCACTCCTGCGGGTCAGCGGGTGACCCACTGCACGGACGCTCGGACAGGCCGACACCTGGCCACGTTTACACGTCGGCCGGGGTCGAGCCTGTACACACTTACCACTGCGTCTCCTCCAGTCACTGCGTCTGGTCAGGTAGTTGCATCGGGTCAGGTGTTTGCTGCAGCGTCCAGGTCTGGTCCTGAGTCTGCCTCCTGCTCGCGTCGTCTCCTGTCTCACGAGACTCTCCTCTGGCACCACCGCCTTGGTCACCCCTCCCTGCTTCGTCTCCGAAGCATGGCCTCCCGTGTCCTTGTCTCTGGTCTTCCCCGGTCCCTCCCTCCCCTTCCTCCGGGGCCTGGCCCTACCTGCGTCCCCTGTGTCGAGGGGCGGCAGCGGGCTGCCCCTCACTCCTCCCAGTTTCCTTCGACAGAGGCCCCACTGCAAACGCTTCACATGGACGTGTGGGGCTCGGCCCGCGTCCGTGGACAGGGTCACGAGCGCTACTTCCTGCTGGTGGTTGACGACTACTCGCGTTACACCACAGTCTTCCCCTTGCACAGCAAGGGTGATGTCACTGAGGTGTTGATCGACTGGATCCGCGCAGCTCGTCTCCAGCTCAGGCGGAGCTTCGGCTCGGACTTTCCTGTTTTGCGTCTGCACTCTGACAGAGGCGGAGAGTTCTGGTCTGGCCTTCTGCGAGCCTACTGTCATGCACGAGGCATCCGCCAGACCTTCACGCTTCCGGACTCTCCACAGCAAAATGGGATTGCAGAGCGCCGCATTGGCATGGTCATGGACGTCGCCCGTACGTCCATGATGCATGCGGCTGCCCCCCATTTTCTGTGGCCATTTGCGGTCAGGTACGCGGCGCATCAGATCAACCTTCAGCCCAGGGTCTCCATGCCGGAGACCTCCCCAGCCTTGCTGTGGACGGGGAAGGTTGGCGATGCGTGTGCGTTCCGTGTCTGGGGATCTCGGGCGTTTGTTCGCGACTTGTCTGCGGACAAGCTGTCCCCTCGTGCTGCTCCTTGCGTCTTCCTGGGTTTCCCCCCTGACGCCCCAGGGTGGCAGTTCTACCACCCCACCTCTCGCCGTGTTCTGTCCTCCCGGGACGTCACGTTCGAGGAGTCGGTCCCCTACTACCGTCTCTTTCCCTACCGCACTCCGTCCCTCCCCCCGCCACCGCTCTTCCTTGTGCCAGGTCCCCCCCCGGTAGACCCCCTCCCCCCTCAGGGTCCTGCCCCTTCAGGTGTGTCCCAGGTAGACACTGTCGAGCCTGTCGAGGTCGCTAGTGACTCTGGTCCTGCTGAGGGTGTTGAGCCTGGGGGTGCTAACTCTGGGGGTGCTGACTCTGGGGGTGCTGAGCGTGTGGGTGCTACGCCTGGGGGTGCTGAGCCTCGGGGTTCTGAGCCTGGGGGTGCTACGCCGGGAGGTGCTTAGCCTGGGGGTGCTGAGCCTGGCGGTTCTCCGGGTGCTTCGTCTCGCCGGGAGCCACTCTCTCCACAGGAGCTGCGTGAGTGGTTTGCCCGGCGCTAGAGGCGAGCTGCTGGAGCTGGAGGTGCTGCGGGTACTGGAGGTTCTTCTGGTGCTGAGGGTTCTGGTGCCACGGGTCCCGGAGGTACTCGTACTAGGAGTACTGGAGCTGCTGGGCCTGCGGGTACTTCAGGAGCAGGAGCTGCTTCGGGTGTTGGCGCAGAGGCTACTGCTGTCGGTCCTTCGGGTGCTGAGCATGGAGGTGCTCCGCCTGGAGGTTCTCCGGGTGCTTCGTCTCGCCGGGAGCCACTCTCTCCACAGGAGCTGCGCGAGTGGTTTGCCCGGCGCTGGAGCCGTGCTGCTGGTGCTGGAGGTTCTTCGGCTACTGAGGGTGCTGCTGTCGCAGGTCCCGGAGGTGCTCGTCCAGGGAGTGCTGGAGCTGCTGGGCCTGCAGTTTCGACTGGAGCTGGTACTACTGAGGGTGTTGACGCTAAGACTACCACTGGCGGTCCTGCTAGGGGTGCTCCTGGTGCTGCTGGAGGTTCTGGAGCTGCTGGAGGTGCCGCTGGAGCAGGTGCTCCTGCTAGGGGTACTGGTGCTGTCCCTGCTGTTTCTGGCGTCGCCACGCGGCCTCGACCGTACCTCGTTCCACTCCTGCAGCAGGTTCTTGGTCTTCCACCTTCTACTGGTCCTCCTCCTCCCTTAGAGTGTCCAAAGTCTGTCCCATCACAGTTACAGTTGCAGCCTACCTCACCTTTGCCTGCTCCTTCTCCCTACACAGGTCCTACTGGAGGTCTTGCTGAGCGTCGTGAGCCTGCGTCTCGCCCTACGTCGCCTGTCCGTGCTGCTCGCGCTAGTGGTCGTGGTTCGCGTCAGCATCCTCCTCCTGTCCCTGGCACGCACCGGATGTCTCTGCGTCCGTCCACTGCTCCTCTGCGTGCCCCTTTGCCTCCTCCTCCTGAGTCCTCTCTTCCTGCTCTTGCCGACCCGGAGTCGGACTCTCTTCGTGCTGCCAGTCCTACTGTCACGCGTCTCCTTGCTATTGTCGTCACTGACCCTTCCTTCGAGTCCACTGTTGCGTCTGCCCTAGTTGCTGAGCTCGTCGACTTTGCTGCTCGCTGTCGCCTAGACTACGCTGCTAGTTTTGTCGCTGAGTCTGAGTCTGTCTGTCCTCCGTCCGTCGGGGGTAAGTGTGCCCTTGGCACGGACGTCCTTGAGGACAGGCAGGAGGAGTTCCAGTGTCTGGCAGCTGCTTCACCTCATCTCGTGTCCATACTGCTTACCCTTGAGGGAGACCCGGATGCACTTGACATCCCGACTCCGCGCT